ACACACACAGCTACAGGCTGACCTCATCTCTGCATGTGCCCGGGCAAGGGGACAGGAGGCGGCTGGACCTGCCCTTCCTCCAGGACCTGGGCCCAACAGCAAGGGAAGCTCAGCTGAGGCCAGGACTACAGCTCTTTGTCCCTCCTTCTTTTTGGGTTCTCAGTAAAATGTCTAGAGGAGTCCAAATGCGATTCCAGGGCTCTCCCTCCACAGTTTTCCTGGGTGGTTCTGGGTGTGGTTGAGTTGGGGTGGGCAGATAAAGACCCTGAGCCCAAGGAAGGGTGGTGACCCTGGAAAGGATTTCTCTTTGCTGGGATTGATCAAAGGTGGTCTTCAAGTCCTTGAGCTACGGGGCACTCTCTCCCCTGCTCCTCAGGCCCTTGGGAAAATTGAAGCCTCCAACAGTGACAGAAGGCAGAGTGATGTAGGGAGGAAGCTGCCTAGGAATTCTCCCGGGTTGTGATGCACACTCCTCGGCAGACCATCCCCTCATCTGTGCAGCTGGAGGGGGGAATGGAGGAGGCCTGCTGGGCTTCCCTTGGCTCCAATCTGCCTGCGCTGCTCCCACCGCGCACTTAGCAGCTTGTTATCCCGTCTGCTGCCGCCCCCGCCCCTCCCCCTGGCCCCTGCCAGGCCACCCGCCCAAAATAGAAAAGGAAAGGAAGTTATTTCCACAGGCAGTGGCAGCCCAGCCGGAAAAGCTCCCCTCCAGCAAGGGGGCCCCGGGATTCCTGGAGCTGGAGACCAAATCAAAGCCAGGCCCCAGAGCCAAAGTGGCCCCCACCGCCCCCAGCCCTCGGCTGCCTTCTGTGTGTGTCACTTCCCTGATTCAGCAGAACACATGTCCTGCGGTTGCCACGCTGTAGGCCACCGAGGAGCTGTGGGGAGCTCCTGGGGGGGCCCCAGGCCACCCTCAGGCCCGGGGCAGCAGGGCGGGAGCCAGGGGATCAGGGAGGGCACAGGCTACTGCCTTTCTTCCTTTCCTCCCTTCCCTCCTGGCTGTGGGCCTTTGCCCTGGCACAGACCTCCTGCCAGGCACCTTGCCTATGATGGGTGGCCCCTGAGCGCCCCCTGGCACAAGAACCCTTCTGCTCCTGCATCTCAATGTGCTTTTTCAGGGCACACTGTTCACAACAGCCTGGTGAGGGGCTCCCACCCGCTTGGGCAGAAGGAGGCAGCAGTTTCTAGATGAGGAAAGCAAATCCCTGAGGGGAGCAAGTCTCACCTAAGACCACCCTGCTGGCTGTGGCTGTGCCAGAACTGGAGCCGGGATTTGCTCTGCTCTCTAGGGATCCTGGTGTCCCCATGTCCCCCACTGCTGCATAATGACATTCAGGTGGGCTGGGCTGTTCGTGGCACCTATTACTCAGCACCCACGAGTTCGCACTGTGCTGGGTGCTGCTATCTTTAGAGGACATCTAAATCCACAACACCCAGTGCAAGCGCCATGAACAGAGAGCTTTATAGGCTTAGAGACTTTGAGGGAAGTATGGTTGGAGAGCAGTGAACGTCCAGTGCAGCAGGAACCCAGGCCCAGGCCACAGGATGGGTTGGCCCAGGCCTGCTTGAGACCAGCTAGAGCCCTGGGCTCTGTGCTGGAAACAGTGGAGGCCACGGGAAGCAGGATCCTGGTGTGATGGACCAGGACACCCGTGTTGGGGCCTTACTATTCCCTCCTCATTGTCACCTCTCCCCCTCCAGCATTGATGTGCTGTGCCCCGCACCCCCTTCCAGCCAGAGGTGCTATCGGAACTGGAACCCGCCACTGCTGGGCAACCTCCCCGATGACTTTCTCCGCATCCTGCCCCAGCAGCTGGACAGTGTACAGGTAATGAGGGATGCCCCACCTGCCCACGCGGCCTCTCTGCTTGCCCAGCCTCTCTGCTTGCCCACACACTTTGGGCCGGCCTGTGTCACTTTTTGGTGTTTAAGCCGAGGCTGAGCTATTTCGGTTGCCCTGGGTTTGTAGGGAAAGGATGCTGAACCTAAAGCCCCATTTCCTGTCTGGGCCTGGAGGTTTCCTGTTATGCCAAGGGAAGGTGGCAGCCCTGAGGAGACTCTGGCTGCAGCCATCACCCCAGGCTTGAGGGAGGTGGGCATGGGGACAGCCAATGGCAGAGGGCCAGAGCACCTTCCTTGCCTTTCCTGGGAAAGGGCCAGAGGCAGCATCTCCCCAGAGGTTGGCATGTGCCAAGGGGCTCTTGTAGAGGTGGTGCCACCCTGAGACAGCTGGTGAAGGAGAGTTTTGAGTTCGGGAATTGTGTGGAGACTATTGAGCAGTTTGCAGATCACTTTTCAAGACTATTTGGGCTGTAGATCGGGGTGGGGAACCCTTTTTCTGACAAGGGCCTTTTGGATATTTATAACATCATTCATGGGCCATACAAAATTATCAACTTAAAAATTAGCCTGCTATATTTGGTTAAACATTTAATTGAATTTATTGAATTTTGAGTCCCACCTGTGGTTGCCTTGGCAGGGCCAGATCAAATGATTTAGGCACTCAAGCTGGACATTCCTCACCCATGCTGTAAAGGGATGGGTCCAAGAGAGAGGAAAAATAGTTTTCAAGCCCTTGCTGCTTCTTCAGCAGAGAGGACTGTGGCCCATGCAGTTGGATCTGGGCCTATGACTAGGTCCTGAAAGGAGGTGCAGGCCCCAGGGTGCAGCTGGAAGATCCTGGGAAGGGACATGTGTTCACCCAGATATGCACAGATGTTTATGCAGTCATCATGCTCACTCCCCTCCTCAGGGCAACCCCGGGAGCTCCAAGCCCATGAGCAGAGAGGGAGGCCTGCTCCCCGTGGCAGGGCCTGGGACCCGGGACCAGGACAGCCTTTGGAAGCAGTACCTGGAGGACGAGAGGATCGCACTTTTCCTGCAGAATGAGGAGTTCATGAAGGAGCTGCAACGCAACAGAGACTTCCTCCTGGCCCTGGAGAGAGGTGGTGCACCAGATGGGGGCGCTGATGCCCTTTCACTGTGGCTGAAGAAGTGGCTGATGTTGGCTGTAGCCTTGGGGCTCAGGAGAGGCAGGGAGCTGAAGGCCAAGGGTGGCATCTGAACTGTTGAGACATGTCCCTGTCCACCACATGATCCTTGTGGGAGCCCCAGAATCCTGCCAAACGGGGACCTGAGTCACCGGCTACCCCTTCTCCCTCCCCCATATTCAGAGGAAGAGAGTGTGCCCTCTTAGGCCCTCTTCTTCCCTCTGCACATCTGCTCTGTGCCAGGCGCTGGCCTTGGCATGATGTGTCTGGAGCTCCAGGAACAGAGTGACAGGTCCATGGGTCTGTGGGACCCTCCCTGAGTGGAGGAGGTTAGAGCAGAGGTTATTGAGTTTTGGGGTGTTTGGTTGTCTTTGGCTCAGGGACCCTGCTCTCCAGCCTGGCTGCTTTTCCCCTTCAGGATGAGAGAGTTTGGGGTGGAGGACAGTGAGAGGGCTGTCTTGCGGGTCACAGTGGCAAGTGTGGATGTGTGTGACTGACAGCGTGTTGTAGGGGAGGAACAAGGTGTGCGGGAGAGGGTAGGCTGAGACCGAGGCCCAAGGCTGGCCCCAGCTCTGTAGCAAAAGTGCTGGGGGTCTTTCCTTTTAAACCAGAGATGGGGAACGTTTTTCCTGCCAAGGGCCATTTGGATATTTATAACATCATTCGCAGGCCATACAAAATTATCAACTTAAAAACTAGCTATGAAAAAACTCCTAGATTTATTGGATTTTGAGCCCTGCCTGCAGTTGCCTTGGAAGGGCCAGTCCAAATGATTTTGCAGGCTGGATGTTCCCCACCCCTGTTTTAAATGAAGGGTTTAGACTCTGCCATCTCTCAGGGTCCTCCTGATTCTGACATTGTACCATTCCAATGCTCAGGGCAGTAGTTTCTGTGGTATCGCTGCTTCTTTGACAGCCAGCAGACGTGGTGTGTACACACATTTTGTGTGTGTTGTGTGCGAGTCTGGGGGTTTGTCTCTAACCACCGTGTAGGGCTCAGCCCATGCGCTAACTTCCCTGACCTGAATGTGGTCCTTTTCCAGATCGATTGAAATACGAGTCCCAGAAATCCAAGTCCAGCAGCGTGGCTGTGGGAAACGACTTCGGCTTTCCCTCTCCTGCCACAGGTAACCTTTCTTCCTGGGAGAGAGGCCTGGAGGTCACAGAGGCTCCCACCCCAGCTGTGCTTTGCATATTTGGAGTTGAGGGAAGAGTGAGGAAATGGGCTGGTGGGGAGGGTTCTCTCTCCCACGATACTCACTATGGAGTGAGCTGGCCCCTCCACTTAGCAGCCCTGAGTTCGTACAATCCAGTGGCTGCTGGACCCACAGGCTGGCTGAACTACTCAGCGGTCTCTGGAACATGGGGAAGAATGGGACATGCCACACCAAATAATGTCCCATGTGGGGTGGAGGAGCAAGAAGGACTCAGACTCACAAGCCTTTGTCTCTGCCCTGGGGGAGCTTATGGAGATACATCCAAGAAATGGGTAGAGCAAACCAGCAAAGCTGAGGACACACTTGATTATAGCAAATGCATGGAGAGGAGAAGGGCAGGATCAGTTTGGGAAGAGTCACTAATTCGTTCATTCGGCAGTTGGGGAATATCTGCCATGGGCCAGGCTCTGCCCTCCTATTGGGGGAAGGGAATTTTGAGCTTCATGTATAAGATGGTGAAAAGCAAGAATGGCCCCAAGAGAGGGCCAGATCCCTCCAGGAGTCTTAAGTGGCTGAAGGAGGCCAGGGGAGGACAGCAGCCTGTTGGGATGCACAGACAAGGGTCAAGCTGGGAACATGGGGCAAAGAGGCCCAGAGACCCCTGTTCCACACTTGCCATCTGGACTTTGCCTATATATGTGCATAGTGGCCCCTTAACATCAGAGCCCTCCACACACACATAGGTTGCCCACCTCAACGACAGAATCCACAGACCTTACATGGTGCGATACAGGGGGTGCAGGAGAGCAGGAGGATGGGAGATGGCTGATCCCAGCTGGAAGGAGAAAATCCTGTGGAACTGATTCATAAGCAACGGGCTTGGAGCTCAGGCCCACGGATGTGCATCTGAGGGTTTTACCAGCAGCCTCTGTCCTTGATCCTGAATTAACTATAGACACCAGAGTTGCTGAGATGGATCAGAAGGACTCACAGGGGACTTAGCAAATGACGTGACTTGGATTAGCCGAGTTGCAGGGTGCAGAGCAGGGGCTTTAAAGGGTCAGTAAGAGGCCCAAGTGGATGCTGAGTAAGGGGGGAAACTCGGGTGGCCAGCCAGGCCCTAACATTGGGACTAGCGCCATCATCATTCCTAGTCATTGCCCAATAGTCAGAAACTCCATGTCTGCGTGGAGTGATGGAGGGGGCTCACCCCGGAGGGAAGGAGACAGGAACCACCAGGGGGAATGCCTCTGTGCCCCACACCTTCCTTCCGTCACCTCATTAACTCCCCCCTGTGGGATGCAGGCAGACTCACCCAGGGCTGTGAATGTTTAGCAGTGGTTGGGGTGCAGGGAAAGGCCTGGTGTGCAGTGTCTGGTGACTTGTATGGTATAAACTCCCACCATGACTGATTTCAAGCTACCAGTGTGACTTCATGGACATGGAGTTGGAGTTGGTCAGAGAAGCAGCTGGTGGGACCCCATAGGGGCCATTTAGCAGACCATGGGACTGTCCCTCTGTGTGTTTTTTTTAAAGATTTTTAAATTGATTTTTACAGAGAGAGAAAGGGAGAGAGAGAGAAACATTGATGTGAGAGCGATATGTACATCCATTGGCTGCCTCCTGCATGCCCCCTACTGGGGACCAAGCCTGCAACCCAGGCAGGTGCCCTGACCGGGAATCAAACCGGCAGCCTTCTTGTGCACTGGATGACGCCCAACCAACTGAGCCACACCAGCCAGAGTGGACTGTCCCTCTTTTTACAGAGGAGGAAAGCAAAGCTCGGGTGGGGAAAGAAGTGCTCCTCAAACCCCAACTGTCCTTGCTTTAAGCTCCACCCTGGTTAAGGAAAAAGCCTGCTCTTTGCTTCCTTCCTCCTATAGCAGGGTGGGGCTGAACCCCTGTTCTATAGGGCAGCCCTGATCCACCTCCCTGGGCCTTGGGCAGCTACTCTTCCTCTCTAGCTGGCCCTCAGAAGTGTCTCCCCCTTCCAGGAACCAGTGACGCCAACCCTGCTGTGTCTGAAGATGCCTTATTCAGGGACAAGTTGAAACACATGGGCAAATGTGAGTGCAGCCCATGTCTCCCTCCCAGATCTCACACAGGCCCTGTGGCCTCCTGGGTGGGAGGGAGCCACCCGGAATTTTTAATGCAGCTGACTCTTGGTGAACTGAAGTGACATTTTAATCGCAGGCTGGTTCCCTCAGCCTTCTTGCCTCATTTCCCTCTGCAGCTGAGTCTGGATACAAATTAAGTTTTAAATCCTCTTGAGCCAGCTGTCTGCAGAAAAGTAATGTGCTGTACCCTCCACCCCCGCAAGTTTTAGTGTTCTCTGTGGCTTGAAGGGGCTTAGCTGGGCCTGAGTGGGGAGGTCTTCGCTAAACCCACTCTCTGCAGGTGGGAGGCTGCGGGGTCCATGACCTTTTCCCACAAAGTCCTGCCAGCCAGGACTCGCCTCCCTCTGCCCTGCCCCTCCCCACCGCACTCCTCAGACACACAACCATGTGTGAATGAGGCTGCCATCCTTTTGGGCTCTATTTCAAGGAAAATCTGGGATTAGTCACGGAAATCCCAGAACCAACTCTGGAGGTAGCGAGGGGAGGGGGTAGGAGGCGGGAAAGAAAGCCAAGATGCAGTGCTGTTTGTCATGCTGAGAAGGAATACCTAGGTCTTGGGCTGCCAGCTGTCCCTAGTCCAGCTCCCCGTAGCCTGTGCTGTCCCTGCAGGCCAACCCAGGATGGCAGCCTTACTCCCCTGGGGCACCGGCCTGGCATCACCTGCCCAGCTCCCTGGGCTCCCAGGCCACCCTGCCCATCTGCCCCCAGCCCTGGTGGGGATGAGAGGGTCTGCCCCAGCCTCCCCCGAGCCCTGGTGGGCAGCCACCTGGTGCTCTGGTTGCTGGCTCACAGGTCTCTCTGCCCCCAGCCACTCGGAGGAAGCTGTTTGAACTGGCCAGGGCCTTCTCGGAGAAGACCAAGATGAGGAAGTCAAAGAGGAAACACTTGTTGAAGCATCAGTCGTATCCTTTCTGGCCTGGCATTGGAGCAGGGGTGGGGTGGGGCTGTAAGGGCACCGAGACCCTGGTCTGGGCTCCCTGAGGCTGCACGCTTGCCCAGCAGTGGGACCTGGCTCTGCGACCCTCCCCTCTCCCTGAGCCCGGCTGCCAGCCTGCTGCCCCATCTCTCTGCGCCAATCTCGAACACCATGGCCAGGTATGGGGAGAGGGCCAGCGTCTCCCATCCCCCGTCTTCTTTCTGGAGGCTCAGAAGTTATCCTATAGCTTTTGTACTTTTTTGTCTGGAGTAAACATCTTGGGAGAAAACTTGATTCTTCCACTGAAATCAGCAAACCTTTCCCTGATTTCTACAGTTGAGCTGTCCTCAGCTCTATCTGCCTCATTTCAAGCATGTTGGCCCTGCCTTCTCACTTTCAATTCCTCCAGTGAAAATAAGGGTTTCCACCTTTTTACCCAGGCTCCCATCCATGGTTGTCAAACGGGGCCCAGGATATTAGAACCTGATCAGCCAAAGGGGAACAGGGAGTCACTTCTCTGTTCCCAGGATGGGAGCTGGGTGAGAGTCAGGGCCTAGCTGCTCAGCTGACCCCAAGGAAAGGAGCCTGCGGGGGATACTGGGGAGTGTTGGGGGGATAAGGCTGGTGTGGTGGAAGCTTCCTGAACTTGGAGCGGGTGGTGGAGGGCTAAGGGCAGGGAGTTGGAGTCCTGTGGCAGTGCCCCACCCATCCCTCGGACAGTTTTCCTGAATGGCCGGGCAGGCTGGGGGCCGCGGCGTCAACAGCCAATCTCCTGGACGATGTGGAAGGCCACGCCTGTGGTGAGGCACGAAGGGTGGGGACACGTGATCTCAAAGTTGCCTGTGATCAGTGGTCCTCCAAGAAGAGGGCCTGGGTGTTTCATGGGTGACACATCAAGGACTAGGGGCAGGTTCCCCAAAGAAATGAGTCCTCCCACTTGGATCATATTGCTTCCCCCTTCCTTCCACCCCTGAAAGGGAGCCCCGGCCACACCTTCACACAGATCTCTACCTAGAGCACAAGTGCCCGGTGCTGTTGCTGGGGAATAGTCTCAGGAGTGTGGGGGCAGACAGGCTTCAACTTGAGAACCAAGCCCGGGCAGGTTCAGTCTCTGGGCCCAGAGGCCTTTCAGCATTCATCCAGTCACTCCCAAAGGCCGCATGGACAGAAGACGCTGCCTCAGACCCCACCAGGCCCACAGCCAAGCCCTGTTCCCTATGCTTGAGAGAGAGGAGCCTTCGGTGGTCAGGAGACATCCAGAAACAAGGGCTAGAAGAGCCTTGGAGGCCATCTGGATAGTCCAACTTCCCCATCCCACTTTATAGATGAGGGAACTGAGGGAAGATCTTGTCCAAGGTCTTGGGGCTCAGTGATGAAGCCAGGCTAGCAGACAAGTGTACTAGTCCACACTGTGCCTGCTGCCTTCTCACCAGACCCACACAGCCCCGTCTTCCCCCAGGGATCAGCACGTGCCCCTGCAAACAAGGGGAGCATCCTTGCTCAGCCTGGGGACATGCCTGAGCAGGGACCTACAGGGTAGAGGGTGAGGCAGCTTCCCTCTGCTTTTCAGATGAAGAGTTCCGGGGAAGGCGACAGGAGGTGCCCAAGGTGGAGGAAGCCCTAAGGGAAGGACAGTAAGAGGTAAGGCCTGGAGTTGCCCAGGGACTGCCCGAGACCAGGGCTGCCACACCCCACATCCTAAGGGTCTTCGCAGGAGTCCGGAGGCGCTGGCTCAGGAAACTAGATAGTGCAGGCCCTGCATTTCTTCCTTCGTCATTGTGGCAGGGGACATGGGCTTCTGTTGGAAACTAGTCTTTTGCATTTCTTTTACTTCTTTATTCATTTGATGAAAGATAATCATACCAGCCGATGCCAGATGCCGGGGACAGGAAAACAAAATCAGCTTTGCTCTCGAATAGTTTACAGCTTAGTTGAGAAAACAATCCAGGACACACTAGGACAATGTAAGAAAAACAGGAATGGCCTCGTCTCGGCTGTGCACACATACACAACTCTCCCATTGGCTGCCTGGGGTGGATGGTGTAGCATTTGCCAAAACTAGATGTGGAAACGCCCCTCTCAGGGCGGCTGTTTCTGGCTAGAGCCCTGGCACCCAAGCTGCTTTCCCTCCTCTCTTCCTGGGCATCCCCGGAGGGAAAAACAGGGAATGTCAGCACCTCCTCCAGGACTCAGGAGCACCTGTCACTCTTCTGGCCCCTCTCCCCATCGGGAAGCTGCCTGCCCGCCCTTCCCCCAGCTGCTGTCCTGGTCCCAGTGGTCAGCATCTACAAGGCTTTTTTGAGCTGATGATGTGGCAGGTATGGCCCTGTTTCAGACTGTGCAGAAATACTTGCTATCCTCAGGACAGTTGTCATGGAGGTGACGTAAACCGGCATACAGAAGACACAGCCAGGAATAATGACCAGTGGCCTGTCCCCACAGCCTGGCCTGGGCGGCTGGCCTTCATATCACCTCTAGTGACTCCCATCAGGCACCTCCAGATGGTTTTTTCCCTCAGGCTTTCCTCACCCACGAGGCTGCACCCACACTTCTCACCTCTCCAGGAGGCTCACACAGAGGCCCCCACTCCCACTCAGTGCTGCTATCTCCTTCCCTTGGGTCCTCAGGGAGAACGTGTCCTGTCCAAAGCCACTCCCGCATGAGGACCTTTTCCATCATTTCCTGAGTCTTCCAGCTTTTACTTTCCAGCTCCTTCCTCAAGTCTATGTCTTCCTCTCCCGTCTTAAAAATCACCCAACTTGCAAAAGAGTGGCAATCTACCTTCCCCCACTGCAGGCTGGCAGCCCCTCCCGCCACCCCAGATTGCCACCTGCCAGGTTCAGGGCCTTCTCCAGTGCTGTGTCCTCTGGTGCTCTCTGCACACTGCCCATCATCTTCAAACTGCCCTCCCTTGGCTCCCACGGCCCCAGAATCTGGACCGTTTTCTTCTCAACTCTGTTCTCAGGGTCCTGTACCGTCTCCCGTTACCCCTCTGACTCCCTCAGTCCCAGTTCCCCAGGCATGGCCACTGCCTTCTGTTACAGTATCAGCAATATTTTTGTGCATTTGGCTCCAAAATCTGAATCTCCATCTCAGTCTGTGCCCCTAATCTGCTCCGTAACCCCAGCTATGCCCACGATTGTCTTTCTAGCTCTAGATGTCAACTCACTGAAGGCCAGTCTCTCCCCCTGACTTCCCCATTTCATTTCCCTTCCTTGTCTTTCTCGTCACCTGGTCTCTTCACTGCCCCCACGCCATTCACCCCATCACCAGAACACTTCAGCTTCATTTGTCCTTGCTCCCTGAGTGGGTCTTCTGAGTACTAAAGGCTTATGAACTTCTCAGGCTGGTGCGTGGCGTCCACCAGATTCTGAGCCCATTTACTTTTCTGCGGCCACAGGTGCCCTTAGTCTGGCTCATCTGGGCTACTGCTGTTTCACAGAAGGGCCAGGCATGTCCCACCTCTCAGCCCTTCCCATGCAGCGGTTTCCACCGGAACTCCAGTCCCCCACTACATCTCCAGCTGCGGAGTCCTTGGTATTCTGCAAGTATTCTAGGAGTTAGGACTGTGTGTGTGTGTGTGTCCAGGCAGAGTTCCCAGGCTGACACAGAGTCCCTGGAGGAAGGAGAGGGTTTCTGTCTTTGGTAGCTTCTACCCAAAACCATCTCTCCAGGAACCAGTGATGAAAGACCACTGGGCTTCACTGAAAAAGATTTCTCCCATCCCTTCTCCTTACCAGGTGACAGCAGTTCCTCCTCGCTGGAGATGATCTGACCTGGTGGAGGTAGCGGAGAGCAATACCGGCCCCAGTTGAAGAGCCTAGCTGCAGCCGGACAGGACAGACGGACAGATGGTGCTTGAGTACTGAGGCCCAGTGATTCTCTGGCCACAGTCCAGCCCAGCCACTGCCACTTTCAATGGGACTTAGAACTTCGGAGTTGCATGCTGTGATTGGAGGAAGGATCTGGAAAGGGAGGGGGGAGGGCACGATGGCCAACCAGGGCCCCTTTTTGTAGCCAGGCTGTTCTATGGGCAATGAATGGAAATGCAGGATCTAACCCCCTTCTTAAAAAAATAATCCAGAAATAGGCGAAGGTTGGAGTGCCACAAAGGGCAGGAAGACCCTGCCAGAGGCTCTTTGGCCTGAGGGTGGAGCCCTGCCTCCCACCCTTCCCCATCTCCCCGGCTGGGCCACAGACACTGCCTGATCCCCCACTCCATCCCCAGTCCCTTCTGGGCACCTTGAGCCCTTTATCCCCACTGTCCCCTGCATCTCGGCCTTTTCCCGGGGCTGCTGACCTTTGGCACAGCCCCTGCACCCAGCTCCAGGGGGGAGAGCCCTGGGCAGTCACTGAAGAGAGGTATCTGCTGACTGCCCAGCCTGGGCCCCTCAGGCTGCCCTGTTAGGGGCTGGCATGACCCCCAGCAGGGATGGGGAGGGTGGCCACCCCGGAGCTGGAGGACTTTGGTTAAACAGGAGTAGTCTGGGGCCAGGTGAAGGGGCTGCCAGCCTGGGTGGGAGCGCCTGGGGCAGAAGGGCTTGCTGGGTGCCCCTTGCCAAGAGCCAGAAGGTGAGTGATCCGCGGAGGAAAACTCCGGTTCTACCTTACCCGGCGTCAACCACTGCCAATGGGCGGGAGGCTGCTCGGTCTCTCCGGCCCCGCCGTCGGGATGCGAGCGCGCTGACCTCTCGGGGACCCGGGAATCCTGGGCAGCCTGAGGTTTCAGCTCCCCCCACCCCCGAGCGTGGAAGCAGCCCAACGGCGCGGGACTGGGAGCCAAGCTTTTGCAGGGCCCGGGTGGCCTCAAGTCACCCCGAGATAATGAGGGCGTGGCGCGCGCTCAGCACCGCAGGCGGAGGCGACCC